GCCAATTACCTTGTGTTGAACTGTGATTATGTTGCTAATCAACATATTGTGTTTGCACTGCATATTAACACCAAGCGGATCTAGTTGTAGGCAGCTGTTTTTGATTTGTGTCGACATGTAGTTACTTTTCTAGGAAGGTGCACCAAGCACAATAATCGAGCATCATTCAGCAGATTTGAATGATGATTCTAGGGCTGTGCAAACTGATAACGTTTAATTTCAATTACAATTTTGGCTTGTTGTCAAATATGTTCTTATTGTTTTCTTGTAGAGCGACCGTTTTATTTCCAAGGAAACTCCCTGCCAAGCTGCAGCACGTTAGGTTCAGTTAACATTTTCATTGTAATGAAAGAACAAAGAAATCCACTTTTGAAATTTCCATAACTCTTCTATTCTTCCAGAGTCTGTAAGTAATCCTGTCAATTATGATTTCAGTATTGATCAAAATAATTGTGACTGGGATTTTTTCTATAATCGAGCAAACCCGGGTGACTGCGAAGATGCAGTGAAGCCTGAAATATAAGTTATTGATGTCTGACCATTCATTTAGATAAAGGCCTTAAAACAGCTGCCAGGATGCACTGTCGAGATGTCTGCCAAGTGGCTAAACTTGCTTCCGGACGGATGTCGCTATAAATCAAAATGGGATAAGGTCTGTAAGTTGAAGGCACAAAGTCGGCGAGTGAACGTGTGTGTGTGTGTGTTAAAATGGACAGGAGAGGGTGAGGAATAATGGGAAGGTGGGGGTGGGGTGTGCAGGACCCCATGTTGTAGCCATGGTGAGGTTACTAAGACAAAAGGCTTGTGTTTGAGCAAGGACAGCAATCATTCTGGTTTATTCCCTGCAATGCTGAGTTCTCACCAGCTTTAATGCTACATATGCATTTCTACAAGGATCATTTTTGACAAGAGTAGACTGCATCAAGCATTTAACAGGCTCTATTATTAGTTTACTGCTCTGCTTCAGGAGAAATCGTTTTATGACTCTTGCAGTTATTAAAAAAACAGGGGAAAGAATCCACCAGTGGCTCTCGCTTTTATTTGGTATCTCACAGTGTGGACAAAACAGATTCTCCTCAATGTGAAGACTGAGCTTCTTTAGTCTTAATCTTTATTGTAACACAAGCCTCGATCTAACTTTAATGTTTTTGAATTTTTATTATTCGGATGTGGTATAAATGTCCAAACCAGCTACAACAGGTTTGCATAAAAGTCAAAGAAGATTCTGCCACCTCTAGAAGTACCTCAGCGTTCCAGCAAGCGGTATAAACAATAAACACCTAACTGCTACAATCCAGCATGAGTTGTGCAATAAATTATTGTAACCAGAGTGACCTAATGAATGAATGAATGAAAGCTTTATTTGTCACAAGCAGTCGATCCCTTACAGCAGCGGTCCCCAATCCCCGGGCCTCGGACCGGTACCGGTCCGTGAATCTTTTGGTACCGGGCCGCAAGAGTTGAGGCTCAGGTGTGAAATGTATAGTTTTCAGGGTTTTTAATCGGTTTTCAGCGTTATTTTGTTATCATTTTTATCGTTAACTCAGTTTTCCTGGGTTTTTTCACGTGTGTTATGAATAAATCTTCTTTTTTTTCAGTACCGGTACTAGTTTTATTTTGTTGTATTTATCCGCGACACCTTAAAGGCCGGTCGGTGAAAATATTGTCGGGCATAAACCGGTCCGTGGCGCCAAAAACGGTTGGGGACCGCTGCCTTACAGTGTCTGAAATGCTTCTGTTCAGAGAATGGTTTATCATTTTTAATCTTCTTCTAATTTTTAAACATTAGCAAGGAAGTATTTCTAGACACGTCTCGACACAAAAGTACTTTAAGATGGCAAGAACAGAGGAAGTGACATTTAAAAGCAACACTCCCTTGGTTCTACATTGCTACATCAGTGTTTCCCACTGACTGTACTTAGATAATTTAATATGCTATAAAATGATATATAAACTGGGGCAATAAATGATGGAGCACTAGTCAGCTGCTTCTCCAGTTAGTTTCTTATCCAGTCTATGGACTCAAAGTCCATGGTCCTGGACTGCTGCTTGCAATCGTGGTACTCTGTGAACTTAGTGTAGTGTACTATCTTTCTATATGGTGCAGGTTCCAGATTACTGCCGGCAGCTGCAATCCAAGACAATGGACTTCAAATCTGTTTGAGCAATGGATCGGACAGTAAAGACAGCTCAGAGCAACGACATCCTTACAAGCCACCCAGCAGGGAAAGACTAGACTGGAGACACTAGCAAGTTCAATTTAGCATCCTCTTTTAAAATAAGAGCAAGAGGACTGCATAATTATTAATCAATAACAGTGTTGTCTTGGATGGATTAAAAAAAAAAAGCTACTAAAAATTAGGGCTACAACGATTCATCAACATACTCGATGACGCGGAAGCAGAATTTTATTGTCGATGCGTCATATACTATACCACATAAATGTGTTTTTGTAACTGTAATATACTGCAGGAAGCTATGGTGGCCATTATCGCCCTTATCGTCTGCCAAGACTGCACTCAATACCAACGAAGAAGAATGTCTTGATGCATGCTCAATGATCCAGGTAAGGAAATCCCAAACAGTTAATTCTGTTCATCAGGACAGACAGTGCAAAGCAGAGACAGCACTACTGCAGTGCACAAGCATTTAAAAACGCCGCTGTTGTGCCAAAAAATGATCATCTGCTTAAAACTGATTTCCAATGTTTTTGTGTGTCATGTCTTTACTTATATTGGTAAATAGACTTTGGTGAACATGATTTACAAAGTGATTATATATAAAATGTAAAAATTACCTGTTTTCCAAGTATCTTATGACTTTATGTGTTATTGTACCTACATTCAAACGAATCCGGTTCTTTTTGGCCACATAAGACATCTTTTTAAACCTATTATTATATTTGTTGCAATTTCTGCGATCCTCTTGGTCAGATTACTCTTAAAAATACATTTTTTAACATCAATGAGACATTTTAACTGGATAAATAAAGGATATAAACGTCACTTTTGGGCTTCCACCTTTTGATAGGAATGCTGTTTGTGGCTCAAAATGACTTGATAGGTCATTTGACATTTGTTTCACAAATTATAGGCCAGAACGTTATTTAGAGCAGTTTAAATACGGGCAGTTAATATTTGGCAAATACTAGAAATCAGTTTTTGGCAGAAAAATCTCTTTTTGGCAGCTAATGAGTGAAATGCGATTGTAAAACAATAAACAGAGATAGCTACACTGTCTCCTAGTTTGTTTGTTTAGTTTTTACACACATTAATATTATAGCGAACCTTTTCCACCTAACATTAAGTAGCTAATCTGTGGGGAGAGAGAGAACAGGGTGATATTCACAGGTGGGTAGACTTGAGGAGGTGAGGCACTGGAGCCTAGAACAGGTTTGCCCACAGGAAGAGGAGATAAGAGTTATTGAAATAATTGTTAGATAAGATAAGATAGAACTTTATTAATCCCTCGGGTGGGTTCCTCTGGGAAATTCGATGTTGACTAATCGAAGAAAAATTGGCAGATTAGCCGACTACCAAAATGATCTTTGGCTGCAGTCCTGCTAATAATGCACTTGTTGTCAATTCATAGAAGCACTGCATCTAAGTAAAGTCTAATTCGCCCATTGAATGCTCGTAGATTTGTACACTTTCACAGGAATGCTGTTTGTGAGCCTAACTTCAGGTCTTACACTGCCTAGATTCCAGTATATCATTCTCCACCAACTTCACCATCATATATTTCAGCTCCTTTCACTGGAATGAGTCTGATCCTCTGATATATCCTGAGTCAGTTAGGCTAAAATTTGTCCATTATGTCTGAGTGTACTGAGATTGGATGCTGTTAACGTTAACGTCCTTGGGATGTCAGTTGCTTTTTCACTAAGCAGGTTTCTCATCAGTAGCTACTGATACACGTCTGCAACCCTTCAAGTTTACATGTTTAAAAGCTGTCGTTTGTTAGCTACACTTCTAAAGGTCTTGCATTCTTATTGTGTAGTGCAGCAGTCCAAATCTTCCACACGTTTGCAATAATTAGTTATTACCTACAATCCCTTTGTGAAAAAGACAAGACACAAATAAATGTTACTAAGGGCCACCACCGGCCTCGGGTCTGCACTTTGAGAACCCTGGATGCAGGAAAATCCAGTGAGAGACACTACTGGTACTGGAAATATTTGCACCTATCTAAACAAAAGATATACAGGGCCTGAGGCAGTGACAGCATACACTTTAAATAACCTTAAAAAGCAGGAAAGGAAGTATTCAGTGTTTTGTTAGCTGCACTAAGAGGAAGTGGTCTTTGTTAGACCTTCACATCCAAAAAGAGAGGCTGCTTTAAGCTGGGTGCCCTTGAGACAGAGGTGGGGATATTCTGCACAGCTGCTCAACTGATGTCATAGGACATTAGAGAGGTTCACAGTAATTACAAGTATGTTTACAAACACTAAAAATTGAATCAAGAACAACTCAAACCCAGTCTGCCAAAATCCCACGCTGCCACAGACACAGAAGGCTATCAGCAGGATGGACCAGGCTAGCCTGACACAGCAGATTTTCCAATATTGAGCTGCCCACTGAGCTTTCTGTCGCGGTTTTATTAAAGTGGAAACTGGGCGGGCCAGACAGGGTGGAGGTGATGGAGTGGAGGTGAGGGTTGGCTGGGTGGTCTTGCATCAGATGCATTAATTATTGATCAGCTGAGAGCTGAGGGGGGTTAAACATGCGCAATGAAAACACCGGTGGAGGTGAAAGTCTAATCTTCATATCTCCATCCTGGACAGCATGTGTGTCCAACTGCACCCTGTCCCAAATGAGCTAGGGGAGATTAGCGCGTCTACGTCGCTTGCTTGATTGCAGCTGCTCTTTGCACATGGCAGACTAATCTCCGGGCCCGCGGGCTGACGGGGGTTATTATGACCAGCTCCTTGAAAAGCATAATAAAAACCTAAGTGCAACCTCTCACAGACAGACGCCTATGGTTTTTAATTATCTACTTACATGGTCCGGGTTCCGCTCGTTCCCAGGCAGTGCTGTGCGTAAAGACATTTTTTGTCCCTGAGTGAGCTTCGCCGTCCAGGAGAGAAAAAAAAAGTCTGGGTTGTGTTCACACCGGGTGAAAAAAGAAAGAAAGAAAGAAATGCCACCCCAGACTAGCCTGGCTGTATGTAGATAGAGGGGGAAAGGCTTCACTTCTCATAAAATCCTCATTGTCACAGTCCGCGAAGGCAGCACAGATCACCAAGACAGTGATCCAGCTTAAACTGATGCTTTAAAAAAAAAAACTGAACCGGTTGGCTACATCCACTTCATGTCTTTATGGTGTGTCTGCCTCATTTGAAGAAGGAAAACCAACACTGAACCCCCCACTTAGCGCTTCGCTTTCCCCCAAATCCCCTCCCAGACGCTATCCTCTCATCTCTGTTGACACGGTGCTGGATAGTTAACAAAACAGCCCCTGTGGTCACCGGTTTACCTCCACCTGCATCGTCTTCTGCTGAGAAAGGAGGAAAACGCGCACAGCCGGTGGAAAACACAGCAACCGATAGGGGCTGATAAGAGGAAACAGAGGCGAGGACTCAGTGTCCCTCTGGCCACCACGGTCTGAATTCAGAAGAAAAAAAGCAGGGGACTTTGTGTGTTCCTGTTAGCTTGCTGAATAATTCTGGGGGGCAGTCCACGAAGACGCAGTCAGTTTAAAAGGAAGCAGGAACCGGCTGAGGCAGCACTTCTGGACGCCGGGAGACGTTCAGGGCCCGGGTAAATAAATCAATGTATTGAAGAGAGCAGGCGGACGTGCAGCCTCCCAGTGTGTGAGTCCTATGGTTGGTTCTTCCTCTCTGTCCAGTCCGCCCTTGGCTCCTCTCCTCTCCTCTTTGATTTGGTTAAAAGTGCTGCAGCGGTAATTGAAGAAGTCGCCGGCGTGTGAGGGCGAAGATACGTCTCCGCTGGGTCACGAACACACCATCTGTTTTCTAAGAAAGACGAGAGAAGAGCGGACCTCTCGCCCAGTTCGCCTCCCGAAAAACAGTGACAAGAGAAAGAGTGGGGAACGTCAACGGTAGGCAGGGCTGCTGCCTTCCACGCACGCGCACACAGACACGCGCTATTCTCTCATCTGTCGAGCTGCCTTCAAGTACCCCGCAAAAAAATCTGTCTTCCGGCAATCTATCAGAGCTCGGAAAATAAAGATACTTGTAGACCCATGGTAAACTTTCCAGGATGAAGAAAAGCCGCTGTTTCCTATAATTTTAGGAAACAGCCGCTATGACTTTATGTCCCATACAGATATATATATTGTGTTAATAAAGGTTGATTAAAAAAGGCCTGAAAAGTGTCTTTTATCTGCATTCCTTGTAATGACCAGCAGGAGACAACCCTTACCTCAGTGAACTCTTTCCTGGTGCGTTTATGGGCTCCGTCGCTATTTTCATCTCATATTGCATAGAAAATTAAAAGGTTTGGCCATTCTGTGTTTCACATAGGCCCACGACTAACGACTCACTGATAGTGGAGTTTTACAATCAGGTTCACCACTCACATATCACATCCAGTTTCAAAACACTAAGATGGCAGTGGTGAAAATGCTTAGCTCTGGGCTTTATAAACCAGTGGGTGACTTCATAATGCGTAGATACATCCTTTGTAGCGTCTTACAAAATGAAAAATAAATAAATAAAAGTTCCACCATTTAAGTTTGAAACAGAGCCACGCAAAACGTACGAGAAACTCTTAAAAGTAACTCGTGAGCTAAGAAATGACATCTTTAAGTATATACAATCTAAACCTTCAAAACAAAAGAGAAGTCAGAAAGAAATGTAAAAGTTATTTAAATTCTTTAAAGCAATATGATATGATAATAACTAATAAGTGTGAGGTGGGAAATTAAGCAGGTTTCTGGCTGAAAACCTCTCTTTGTTATGGAAGCAGCAGGCAAGACATGAGGTGTTTTAAATGAAATAAGTAAAATCTTAAAATCAATTCTAAAATTTAAAAAAAAAAAAAAAAAAAAAAAAAAGGACAGCCATCGAAGAATAATTAAAACTGCTGATGACTGTGGAAGACTCATTATTGGTACTTCTGCTCATTTATACTAGAACATGGTGCAGCGATTCAATCAGGCAAGTCATTATGAAAAAAGAAATATTTACAGTGCGAAGCCGCTTGAAGAAATGGAGGCAGGGCTAAAAACTGAAAGTCAAAAGAATTTCAGCACACCTGTGAAACACCGCCCCCTGGTGGTGGAAGGTCGGGTTAAATTGTATAGATAGTATTTACAAAAAGTACCTTTAAAAATAACATTTATTAGATAACAAGTACATTTAAAGTAAGTTTTAACAAATTACACACAACATACAAAGGGCTGTTTTATATGCATGACCCACAGACACACTAACTAATGACTATAAATCAATAGTGAGTGAATTTGTTGCATTTCCAAGCCTTTCAATGTGAGGCACAGAAATGTGTGTTTGTTTGGCACACGTGAGAGGACACTGGTTGATTTGTTGTTTTCTTAAATATCTAAATCTGCAGCCAGCCTCTGTGAGGCAGAGGGAAACACTTGAGAAAGGACTGTGAAAAATAAATAGGGATAAGGCAAAGTTTAATCCCTCTAGCCTGTAGTTTTCCAAAAGCCAGAGCTTTGCAGAAACTGGACCCTAAATTTTGGGGACTATGTCGAGAATACGGCTTCTAAAAAGTCATTGAACCACATTATGGTGACTGACCTCTGATAAATTGAGGTCACCATCCTATACACTAGTCCTGACCTATTATGCCCCTTTCTGGCTGTAAATGAGAGCTCGAATAATACCCTTATTTCTGTGGTTGCTTGAAATTTGAAGACACTCATCATGCAGGCTGAAATATTTACCCAGATAAGTTAAGCTCTGTGTTTCATGTGCATGCAAAGCTAAAACAAAACACCACGTTTCCAACAGCATCAGAACACAACACCCTTCCCCCCCAGTGTGCATGAAGGCACAATTACTCCATTCATACAGACATGCTTGTGTGTGTGTGTGAGAGACAGAGAGAGCAGGCTAATATTACCAGAAATCTGTTTCTGCTTTTGCTGAAAATCACAAAGGAAGTAACATTTGTTGATAATTTAAAGTATGAATTAAACAGCAGGTCTGCTCATTGTTAAAAACAAGTAAAAAATAACAATCGAAAGGAACAGCTGCTGCACGTCTCCTGTGATATTTTTGCTGTTATTGATTAACAGACAAGAACTATTAGCAAATAAAATTGTTTCATACTAAACCTGAAAACATGCCCCCTTTAAGAGCTCATTGACAGATAATCAAAATCCCAGGAAATCAAATATGATCACTTTCTATGTTATCCTCTATAATCAAGCTGCAGTGCACTACAGCATTATATTGATTCATTACTGGTTTTGAGGGCATTTTCTACCCCACAGTGGAGGCTTTGAATTGTACTGCAGACCTTTTATTGTCATCCCTATGATGTAAAAATGTCATATATGCACAAATAGTAGACAAAACTTTGAATGGGAGATCTGAGGAGTTTTTATGCTTAGAGCCAGAGGTAAGCACGCCAGGATGCCTCCAGTATAAACCAAAGCATCTAAACCTCTTGGCTCACACAGTCTTTAGAGGACATGACATGGTCATCGCCCAGCTCACTTCTGATCACACGTAGAGAGAGAAGCCCATCTTATGCTTCTCTACACTGAACCCCAATGATCACCAGTACACCGTTTTGTTTTGTTTTCAATTTAAATTCACATGTTTTATCTCGTATCATGCTGATTCAATCAAAGCGTCTTTACCTCCTCTGTGAATCGTCTCTACCGCCGCAGAGATAATGAGGAAAGATTTGCAAAGAGAGGCATCTGCAGCAGAATTCAAACCCGACACTTTTATGGAAGCTTGCAAATTAAATATGAAAACAGATATATGCACCAAACAATATAATTCAGGATTTAATGAGCTCATCTGCCCAGGAGGGGGATGTGTGCAGTTTAAAGCCGGTTACTGCTGTTTGTTTTTGCTAAGCAGATTTATTGCTGCAGTGTGTTCACAGAAAGAGCCCAAACACCTTTTTTCTAAAGCTAATGCAGACTAAGTCCTGCAGCAAAGCCTGCATTCATGAAGGTTGTAAAGTTCAGTTTTTGGTAAAGCCATTTAAGGGTGTACTCTTTTCTCCCCTTTAACACTTTAATCTTTACTATGACCTTTGTGTTGTAGAGGGTGTGGATGGGATTGGACTGAGAGTATTATTTTTCTATTTTGATTTTATTTTTTTGCTGATGTTTGTACACTTTAATCAGGAGTTTTCTGAATAGTCTAATAGCAGCGCTGACTAAAGCTTGTAGTGTAATTTGTCATTCTTTTGAACACTCCATTAAACTACATTAGTTATTACTCTAATTTAAGACAGTTAAGACTATCTTTATCTCCCAAGGTGTCACGTGTTTACATTTTGAATTAGAAGCACAAACCTTACCTGGACTGATCTGGACCTGTTGGAGCGAACCCAGGGCCTCATCCTTCCTCAGCACTGCTCCTTCCTGGTTGAGACTGAGCGCTTCAGTGACCTGAGCCCCTGCAGACTGAGGGCCTGATACTGTAAGGGAAAGGTGAGCAGCACACAGGCACATTCACTGGCATCCCTCGGAGAACAGAGGCAGAGCTGCTGCTGCAACTGCACGCGAATCGATGCTGGAAAGAACAACCAGAGCAGCAGTCCGTATTTCCATGGAGAGCCTGTACTCAACGCAATGTCACAGAGTATACCGGCAGCATTAGTGTTACTGCTCGGTCAGCTGTGCATAAACCTATTAGAGCAAAAAAAAGACAAAAACAAAAGTGAATGTGGAATTGTCGATATATCTAATGGGCTACGGAAAAGGTGGCGGTGGTGGTGTGTGAATGTGTTTCTGTGTGGCGTGATGGGCTTGTTTGTGTGTGTGGATAACAGCTAGTGATTTGTGCTGCTCTGAGCACGTCAGCAGGGATCAATACAGGCGGTGACTCATGCTCGCCCCGAGGGCATCAGAACTATCACAACATCACTCATAACCCAATTGTTTCTTAGTCTTTAACCTACTTCTTATCTTAATCCAAAAACCAGTAGATAACCCCCAAGATTTGGAGTCTAGGGTCTAAAGCAAGAAAAAAGACAGAAGGACAAGATAGAAGCACAGTTCTGCAGTCATACAGGCTTCTTTTTGTCTACACATGTCAAAACCATTTCAGTCTCACCTCTCTAACCTTGTCTCCAGCCTCTCAACCTAAGCTGTCCCTCTGATGTACTCATTTCTAATCCTGTCCCGTTCACTCCCAATAAAACATTTTCATCTGCAGCTCGACCGCCTTTGTTTTTGTCAGTGCCACCATCTCCAAATCACACATCATAGCAGGTCTCATTACCATCTTCTCCTTCACTCTTGCTGCTATCCTTCTGTCACAAATCACCCCTGACACTCGTCTCCACCCTCTTGATCACCTCTCTTGTGCATTGCTCATTGCTTTGGATGGTTGACTCCAGGTATTTAAACTCCTTTAACTTTCTACACTATCTGTGCTCCTTGCCTCTCCAACCTCTTCTCAGTCACACATGTATTCTGTCCTGCTTCTACCGACTTTCATTTCTCCTCCCTTCAGAGCATACCTCCACCTCCCCAAAGTCTCTTCCACCTGCTCCCTACTCTCACTAAAATGTGATCTGCAAACATCATAGTCAGGACTTTTCTAAGATTAAAAATCAATCAATCAATCAATCAATCAAGTCCAAATTATCTCTTTGAACTTTAAGGCAAAACAGTGTGGAGTTCTTTCTGCAAACCTAAGACTCATTTATACTAAGTACAAACATACACTTTTAAATTGTTTCACTACATTTGATTATTGTTTTAAAAGAACCCCTAAAATTCACATTGTAACATATAAAATGTATATCATGTAATAACATGTATTATATAAGGTGTATATTATAATATAAATATTTGTTCCTGAGGTGTATTGACAGACTGTACAAAAAGAGAATATTAACAAATGATCATTAATCAGTATTTTAAAAACTGTGAAACTGGGAGGTGTGATTTCTCCCATGTGTGATATGAAAAATATTCAGCCTTCTTTAAATCAGCGTATAAACATTACTGAATAAAATATTTTCCTAAACCTGAAGGCGTTCAAAAAAAAGAAGAAGAACCCAAACATGAGAAGCAAAACAAACAGACTCTCCTTATCTCCTCTTTGGTAGGAAGCCAGCTGTAACAAGTTGTTTCTCTGCCAATCCCCCACACTTCCTCCCACGATACCCTGGACTGTAATCTGGAAGGGATTACAGCCAGTCTGACCTACTGTACAGCCCTGTGGCTGCTCAGGCAGTCGGTGCAGCACGGAGCTCATAGCCAGCTGCTAAATGTGCACACTGACGTCATTTACATGGATTTAAAAGGAGGCACCAATGAAACAATGAAAAGCAGCCACCGGGGAACAACACTGGTCTTTCTCAGTAAATTCACAGAAAGAGCAGTTTTTAACAAGCAGTCACGACAGGCTGAATGTTCTTGTCTGTGAAAAACCCCAAACAAACCCTGATGATGTAGCTAATGAAGCCCGCTTTCTGCTTTCCCAGAGGGTTAAACAGTTCAAATGTGTTGTGTAGTCTTTGTTTGCAATTAAACCTAAAAGTTAGAGATGAAATGCTGGAAACGTAAGGAAGAATTAAACAGAAAGACACCTCTTCACTCATTTAGGAAAATAAATGAAAATAAAGTTCCCCTCAAAAAGGCGAAAGAAGTTTGGACCTACTCTGCAACACTGAGGAGAAATGAGTGCCATCCAAGGAGCTCCATAGATTTATCTGGACTATAATATTAGTTTGTAGCGCCACCTCTTGGCAAAGAGGTGAACATAACAACAACAAAGCCAAACATCTTGAGGATGGTGCAGTTTGCAGCTTTCTTCTAAGTCTCATTGCTCTGTGACGTCCTGCCAGGATAGACAGTAAAATAAAAAATTAAATCTATTCATGAACAGATTAGATGACAGCACAGTTATAGTAAGGCCCAGCAGAGCAACGTGAACATCGGCTTAAATTACTAAATATTGTAATTATTTGTGGGATACCACATCAGCTACACACAAATCTATTCATGAACAGTTAAACTGGATCAGTGGGGGATTATTAATTAATATGACTTAAGACTAAGAGAAACAGTTTTGAATTGATCTCAGATCTGTTTTGGTTTAAGAAACATTTCTTCTGAAAATTATTATATATAATTATTTTCTTTGCATTTCCGCTCTTGACTTGAAAGTATTCTTATTCAAAGGCAACAGAAACTTTAAATTGAATACCTCTTTCAGTAAGGATGTGAAGGCGACGCATGTGTTCCTGTAAAACTGTTTTTTCTGATCAAAAACAAACATATTTCAAGCTCTTTAATCATTAAGAAAGACAAAAAGGAAGCATGTTTACATTTCACTGTTTTATGAATTGAACTCAGTTACAAGGTTGAGTGAATATCATCTCCACAAGAGAAGTTACAAATAAAGTATTTTCACAAAATAATACTTTCAGTCTGTTATGTTCTCAGCACGCCGGTTCTTTGTATGCATACAAGGCATTTACGTAGTAACAGTCATCATGTGAGATGATGTTAAAAGAGAAAAAGACAGAAAAGCACTCTTTGAGTTGCACCGTTATAAATATCAGCCGCACAACGAGATCAGACGTCCCATTTTTACACATTATACAGCCCAGATGAGGAATATAATGTAACAGCTGCCCACAGATTACCGCTATACCGAGCACAGCATTTTTTCTAACAGGCCACAGAGTCAAACTGAATGCCTTTAGGCTTTCCATGTATATGTGCGGAAGGACGGGAAGACCTCAAACAGAGCCACAGCGCCAAATATCAATGACTTGCGATCCTATTTTGACAGAACTGTAACTGTGGAAAGTAAAACCGTTCATGCTACCTCTGAAAGCACGAGCACGTGTTGCTCATGCATAGTGAAGCTTGCTTGCTTTCACACGTGTGAAAAGGAGCTGTGGTGGTGCTGCACGTGATGCAATGTAAACACAGCCCATCCTCATCGCGAGCACCATCGGTGAGTTGGTACAAATTCACACAGAAAATACTCACGTTTCAATACAAAATGTGTTCGCTAGGTAAGAAAAGCCAAACTTCAGTCTCCCTGGCAAAGAGCTTTAAATGTTACACTGAGCTGAAGCATCTGGCCCGTCCATCTGCGAGTTAGTCGCGATAACAAGAAATCATTACCAAAGGGCAAAATGCCTCGTCTTTAATAAGGATCAGCTGTTTCTGTGGCTCGTTAATACCAACTGTGGTGGTAAAAATCTGCTTTTGGCTTTTCAGTTACATCACGCTGACAAAAGGCAAGAAGCTGAAGATCATTTTGACCCAGGCTTTTCTTAGTTCAGTGATAAATGCACTCACATCAGGAGCTAAAACTCTCTCTGTCCGTTCAGTTTTAACGTTGGAAATGCAATTTGTCAGCTATTCTCACAGACAGATGCTGTAACACTCTTCACGCCGTATCTACCTGCATCACTTTCTTGGCAGTGACAGAAGAAATCTGGGAAAGCCAGCTTTACAATCACCAAAATCGCTTTCAGCTAACCTGACTGCAGCTTACAGGAGCTGACATCACCTCACAGATTAGCTTCAGACATAGAAGCACTTGTGGTCTTTCAGGTTCCTCAGGTAGGAGAAACTCTTGCCGCACTTGTCGCACATGAACTGCTTCTCCCCGGTGTGAATCTGCTGGTGCGCTTTCAGGCTGTTGCCCTGGTTGAAGCTCCGCCCACACGTGTCACAGCTGAACGGCTTCTCCCCCGTGTGGATGCGCTGGTGTCGGTTCAAGTTGCCGGTGTTGCTAAAGCATTTCCCGCAGGTGTCGCAGCTGAAAGGTTTCTCTCCTGTGTGGACCACCTTTGGCAGAGAACATTGAAACAACATGTTTAAATCTTTACTAAATTACCCACAAGGTTACTTCCACTGCAGCAGACGTGTTCAGCTACAGCTGCTGCAGAAGGTGGAACTGCGACACATCTACACAAAGTGTACTCATAAACATACACATGAAGTTAATCTCAGACCAGGTTGGTATTGCTTAATTCTAACAATCATCTGTCACTTTACGGGGTTACTCAGGGTGTAGCATTTCAATCTGGGCCTCCAGCCTGAGATACCACACAATAACGGAAGCAGCAAACCTGCACCTCAGGAGACCGGCACATTAGCTACGACGAGTCATGGAAAGCCGTTAGTTAACTAGTGCCTTGGATCTGCTGTGCCGAAAGCAGACCATATCAGAGATGTTTAAAAGCAGCGGTTAATGATGGCTCTGCTTGGAGAGCAGATTTTTTTGCAAAAATTTATGCAAAAAAGTAATCGCTATATCCTGATCACAGAGTTTTTATAACAGCTGGAAGCCAAAATCATCAGAATCAGAATCAGAATCAGAATGGGGTTTATTGCCAGATGTTGAGGTTTACAACATTAGGAAATTGCTGCGGTGCTTCAGTGCAAACAATAAGAATTAAAGTGCTATGTAGAAAGAAGGATATGTGCATGGGATATACATGAGATATATACATGAGAATCAAGCACTACTCTCTATCTGAACACTCTTTGCAGCTTAAAGGGCTGGAGTCTGGGTTTCAGACACGCTGACAGATTGCTACGGTGTCCGTCCTAATGTTGAGGACTTATTTGCATGAATGAGTTTCACCTTGTGCAACAAGCAGCAAAAACCCACCTGATGGGACTTAAGGCTGCTTTGCTGTGTAAACATGCGACCGCAGATGTCGCAGGAGAACGGCTTCTCCCCGCTGTGCGTTTTCAGGTGAATCTTCAGGTAACTGGACGACTTGAAACTCTTGCCGCAGAGCCCGCAGCTGTGAGGCCGGTCCACCGTGTGATGCTGCTGGTGCGAGCGCAGTTCGGTGATGGAGCTGAGCCGCTGGCCGCAGAGCACGCAGGTGCACGGAATAGTCGCCGCGTGCGTCTGGAGGTGTTTGCGCAGCGAGTCGACGCAGGCCACCGTGGTGCCGCACGCGACGCAGGCGAGCGACTTCTCGTCCACGTGAGAGGTCTTCTGGTGCATCTTCAGCGCGCTCTTCTGGATGAAGCGCTTGCCGCAGGTGTCGCAGCTGAAGGGGCGCTCGCCGGTGTGAATCCGCTGGTGGCCTTTCAGAGTGTCGGCCTGGTTGAAGCTTTTGCCGCAAGTCTCGCACCTGAACGGCTTTTCGCCCGTGTGTATGCGCAGGTGGCGCTGCAGGTTTCCTTGTATTGTGAAACGTTTGTTGCAGTACTGGCAGTTATAGGCACGCTCCCCAGTGTGGACCATCTGGTGCATCTTCAGGCCGTGCGCCCGGTAAAAGCTCTTACCGCACTGCTCGCAGCGATATGGCCGCACGTCAGCATGGAGACGCTGATGGTTTCTCAGGAGCTGCTTCAGGGTGAAACCTTTCCCACAAACATCACAGGTGTGTGGCCTCTCACCTGTATGCAGAAAAGCAAAAAGACGCTCACCAACAAACAACGATGAGTACGCTACAATTCTGATGTAATTTAAGCCGATTAACCGAATGAGTCTCATTATTCTCATCAGTGTAAAGAAACAATTTTCCAAAAACAGTCACGTGGTTTACATGAGGCATGACCAAACATTTCTGGGAGTCCACAAAAATCAACAGACTGATTTAAATTAGCTGTCTAGCCTAGCAACTCCAGGTAAATGTCGGCTGTCTTGTTGTCTCCCTAAGATTTTCTTGATTTTGTAAACTAGCCAATATTAGTTTAACTTAACTTTACCAATACATAATTTCACCAAGACATAAGAGTGTGTTAGTGATGGACGTCAGTCAGCTTGTGGATTCTTCCTGCTCCAAGTTCATCAACAAACCTGCCTTCACGGTGTGCACGGGTACGTCGTACAGACTGTGCCTGCTTTCATTACGTCAAGACTGGACTATTGTAACTCACTCTACTTGGGTCTACAATCTTCTCTTCTGCAGTGTTTGCAGCTGGTCCAGAATGCCGCAGCACGTCTCTTGACCGGCACCAGAAAGTTTGACTCTATCACCCCTGTTCTGAAAAATTTACACTGGCTTCCTATCAAATATCGAATTGATTTTAAAATTTTATTGTTTACTTATAAAATTTTAAACAATATGGCACCTGACTATTTAGCTGATCTCCTCTGTCTGTACAGCCCTCAGAGAGCACTAAGATCATTGGACCAACTGCTCTTAGTGCAACCTAGGTCTCGGCTGAAGACCAGAGGAGACCGTGCCTTTGCCGTTGCTGCACCCAGGCTATGGAATACTCTCCCTCTTCATATTCGCGCGTCAGATTCCATTCAGTCTTTTAAATCACGTTTAAAAACGTATTTGTTTGATCTGGCATTTAAGGCGAATTAGGGTAATTTACATCTGGCTCTGTATTTAGATTATGTAATTATCTTATATTTTATATATTTGTAATTTATATTTTATTGTGATTTTATCTGTATTGTGATTTTACTGGAAAGCACTTTGGTGTACTTCGGTCTTAAAAATGTGCTATATAAATAAATTTTGATTTGATTTGATTTGATTTGCTTTAGTATGAAGGATAAAGCTGGAGCTCACCTGTGTGCAGTAACATGTGAGCACTGAGGCTTCGCTGGAACGCAAAGCCTCGGCCACACTGAGAACACTGGAAGGGCTTTTCCGCGCTCGCCCCGTGGACGGCCTGGTGGGCTTTGAGCTGCAGCAGCTTGGTGAAGGTTTTCCGGCAGTGTTTGCAGCTCAGAGGCTGCTCCTTCTGACTCTCCTTCTTTGCTTGAGCTTGGTGGGACTTTCCCTTTGCAACACGCTTGGATCTGGTGGTGTATCCTGGGTCAGCATCATCTGGATCGTCTGGTTCCGCCTGCCAGAGAAGAAAAGGGATGATTAAATGTTTATTCGTTTAAACGTTGTTGATTGTCAGATTTAGCTCATCAAATGTTACCATAGCGCATTCATTTTTATGGGCGATGAATATTGCAGTGAATAAACTAATTGTTTCCAGTGCTTGAAAGGTTTCTGGGTATCATAAATTCTTATTTAAATAAAAGGGTGTTAGTATAAGTGAAGAAATATGCCAAAAAACCCAACTGTCTAAAATGTTCATCAGCTGACATTAAATTGGACTTATCTCTTAATACAGTACAACAAAATAAAAACTTGTATCTAAAAGCATATATAAAAGTTATTTTTAAAAGCACATGCAATGAAATAATATAGCTGCAAGGTGAAAAAAGAAATAAGTTAATATAAAAACATATTAATGAAGCCAACCTGGTAGTCAGGGTCGTCCTCATCCTGCCAAAACTCATCTCTGTACTGACCAGAGTCAGACGACATCCGGTCGGCTGAGCACTCAAACCCTTCTTCTTTTATTATAACAGGCTGGATGCTGTCCTGACCAGAAGAAAGGATGAGGACAAATTTAGGTTGGCAGGATCCCTCCACACAGGATGTTCAGCTCTGCTTTATTTTTAAGTTGGTCAGATTTTCTGACTAATCTATGCGATTTGGAAACAGTGAATAAACATGTTCAAGTGATGCGAAGATGAGAAACAGAAATGGGAAGAAGAGGCGGGACAACGCAAGACTTTACATCATATGTTCTGCCTTTCCACAGATGAATTATGGGCGATCTCTTCACTCCGGCGTCCCTGCTAACCACACCTACACAGAACAAAAGACAAACATCAGAACCGGTTTGTGGTCACCTCTGCTTCGTCAAATACAACAGGGACAGAGTGGAGACGGCAAGAGAAATGACATCAGGGGGAAAAGGTTAAAAAATATTTTCCTTTCAGTCATGAAATTTGAGTTTTAAAACAACACCACAGCTGATTTTGACTCGATGCAGTTTGATTTAAAATATTTTTCTCTAAAAACTTGTGGAATACAAAAGCTAACTAATGTGTTTAAAAGGAAGAACTCCTCACTTCTGCGACTCTTCCTCCCTGAGCGTTGCTCGAGCTGAACAACCTCAACGTCCACCCTCCCCTCCTTTTGCCCGCTGCCTCCCTCCGTCAGCTCCTCCGCGTCCTTCTGACCTCCGCTGCCCTCGAGCGCCAGCTTCAACTCCGTCTCCGCGACCTCCAGTCTCCTCTTCAGGTCCTCGATCTCTGCCACACCCTGCGTCACCTACAAAACAAGGACTACTTTAGGATTTCTTGCTGGACTGTTAGTGGGTGGATGAATTAAAGCACAAAGGTCGTGTACTTCTAGCCGCAGCGCAGAGGAACATTCATGGAAGAGCTGGCAGATCTTCTCCACAGCTTCTTGAGCCAGAGACGACATGAAGACGCTCAACTGGATCACCTGATGGGAAGAACACAGGCCACTGTCAAATAATGAACCTGATTTAAACTCATTCTGGAAGGTTTATTAAATATTCCAAGTTGAAAGATAATCAGAAAATCTGAGACAGCGTTGTTCAGTAATGTAATGAAGTGAAGAGGACATTGCACTTTGTCACGCTGCAAGATGGTAAAACTTTTCCTTTAAATCCCACTAAAAGTGGAATAATTGAAAAGTCCTGACCTGAAAAATCAGGTCTAACACTGATGTGATATATTGATCAGCCAATCAGATCCCGGGATCACAAGTATACAAGGAAAACCCCAAAACCGCACAACAGGGTAACACTATGTGGCAGTCATCATGATCACAGAAGAGTGTGTTATTGATCAGATATCAGCTGATAGATCGATCCTGCGCTCTGTGGAAACCTGTAGCTGAGGCGCTTCTAGACATACACTAGATAGATAAGCCCGGGCCTGCTGCCCAACCCAAAATGGCGCCCAGAGGTGGATTCTCCCAGACTTCGTGCACCAGCCCCTCATATTTACGCGAAGTTTAGCCTAAACACATGCTCCATACAGCAGGACAGCGCGGCACCCTGCTGCCATTTCGCAGCTAACCGGAGCTAACTGCTAGCTCTTCTATTTCTATGCTCGGCCGGTTGTCTGGACGACAGTTGGAGGAAGCGTCGGCTCGGGAGAAACCGGGACCAATGCGGGGACCAGAACCGGCCCGGATACCTGACGACCGTAAACCACCTTGTACCTTATCCTGTACCTTATCCTCCGGGGACCCGTGCGTGTCTTCGGCCACACACGATGTCTCTTGTGGACGCGGAGGATCCGAGGCGCCGATAACTTTGTTCATCTCTGACACCGCCGCGTTCACCATTATCTCCAAAATGGCGCAAACCTGCGGCTCCAGGTCCGCCATGCTGACTGATTGTGATGTTTATTTCGCATCTACAAATGCGTCATGAAACTTCTGCGCTGCCGCACTGTTGTTGTTATGGTGAAAAAAAAACTCATGCCGATCATTCACAACACGAAGCCAAGTACTGTTTCCTAGTTCATACTTTTCAGAATAAAATCACGTTTCTAATTTGTCTTTTCAGTTTAAATGCTAATCACTGTATATCATTTGTCTTATCTTATCAGCTTTAACTGTATTAACTTGCAAGAAACGTGCCACACTAATTTTGTTTATTTGAATTGTGTTATTTGGATAAAAAAAATAGTAACAAAAATGTATCCATCCGATTTGTTCAATATACCGTATACCATACCATGTTTGATTTTATTGCGAAAAGCCCTAACGGAAACGGTATAGCATCGAGTTTACTTTGAACCTCCCTCCAGTGGTCAAAGGGAGTAACTACAACACTTACAATTCCACGATCAGCAGAGACGTTAAAACGTTAAAATGAGCCTTTAACAGTCAGGGTATTCACAATCTGAAGTTAACAGAGTTGTAAACATTTATATAATTCCATGTTATCAAGCTATATTAAGCAAACACGGGTAAGAGGCGGTGGACTGTGCTTCTGATCAGACTGTTTTTAATTTCAAAATTAAAAAAAAAATGTCAATTGAGAGATTTTTGTTGTCTTGACCATTTTATTCAATACTGTAGGAAAACTGAGACTTTAAACTTGGTGAAAATATAAATATATAATGTATAAATACAAAATTTATGTATAAATACAAAATTTTCATATTTTAAGTCGTGCTGAGAGATCACTAAAAGACTGCCAACTATATCACAATCACTGGAAGGCAAAATGGAAGAAAATACAAATCTGAATAATGGCCCAGCCTTGAGCAACGCTCCCAGAATGCATCACTCATCTGGCTCTGTGGACAATGACTGGTTTGCTCGAGTCGTCACCATCAGGACGCTGTGAGTGCGTCCCCCAAAATTTTCTGGAATTTCTCGCTGCAGTTGTGTTTCTTCAGGAGCCTTGAGTCTGAGAATCCAAGTCCACAGCTGCTGCAGGAGTACGGTCTTTCCCCCGTGTGGGTCTGCATGTGAAACTTGACGTGCCCGAGCTGCCTGAACCTCACGCCGCAGACCTCGCACTCATACGGCTTCTCTCCGGTGTGGATCAGCTGATGTCTCTGGTAGTTCGTGTACATGCGGAAGGCCTTGCCGCATTGCTCGCATTTGTGCGGCTTTTCTCCAGAGTGCTGCAGCTTATGGATCTTGAGCGCCTGACGGATGATGAACCTCTTCCCGCACACGTCACACCCGAAGGGCTTCTCTCCCGAGTGGACCCGCTGGTGGTAGTCATAGGTGGCTTTGTAGAAGAAGGACTTCCCGCACGGGTCGCAGCGGTACTGCATGTGACCCGTGTGAATGAGCTCGTGTTTCTTCAGGGAACACGCAGTGTCGAAGCCCTTGTGACAGGTGCCACAGCTGAACGGCGTCACGTCCACTATCGTCCTATCCTGCCGGTAGATTACTCTGCGCCTGCCCCGCTCCCGCTCCCGTCTCCTCATGACCTGCCCGTGCTTCTCGTCATGAGTTACGCTCTGGTGTCTCCTCAGGTGGCAGTTGTACAGAAACGTCTTCCCACACAGGTCGCACATGTACGGCTTTGAAGCGCCGTGAAGGAGCATGTGTGCTTTCAGCTTGTTGGCCTGAATGAAACCCTTCCCGCACACCTTACATTTGAAAGGCCTCTCGCCCGTGTGGATGTGCATGTGTCTCTTCAGGTTCTGAGGCAGGGTGAAGCCAGCACCGCACGTCTCACAGGTAAACATCTTCCCTCTGTGGACCGCCTGGTGCGTCCTGAGCGATCGTCTCTTTATAAAAACCTTGCCGCACACCGTGCATTTGTACGGGTGCTCTCCAGTGTGGATGCTTCTGTGACACTGAAGGGTGAAGGCGTATTTGAAGCTCTCTCCACACTCGGAGCATTTGTGCGGCTTCTCAGCCGTGTGCACGAGCTGGTGGGACTTTAGGCTGTATTTGGTCTTGAAGCCCTTCCCGCAGGTGGAGCAGGCGAACGGCCTTTCATCCGTGTGCACCACCTGATGCGTCTTCAGCCCCATTTTTGTTTTGAACTTCTTCTGGCAGAGCTCGCACTCGTAGCTGGCATACTTCTTCTCTTCGTGTCGCAGCAGGTGGTACTCAAAAGTCGCTGCGTTCCTGAACTTTCTCGGGCACTGGTCGCAGGTAAAAGGCCGCTGCTCTTTGTGGATGTTCATGTGCTTCATCAGGTGGAAGAGTCGGTTAAAAGTCTTGTTACAGATGTCACACACAAACACTCTGCCTTTCTTCAAAACCTCTGCTTCCAGACGCTTTTGGCTCTCGGTGTATTCGGGCTCCGCTGAGTCCGCGGAGGTACAATCTGCTGTGGCGTCTAAACAAAAGGAAAGATCGAAGTTCACACATATGATGCAGGAGAAGAAGCTCATTTATCATCACTTCTTACTGTGAAATCATCACGGCCAAACATTCGTGATTGATTTGTTAGCTAATGAGCAGACTCTGTATAATCCTCCTGTCTGACGGCAATATGTCTGTGAAGGTTCTCAGTCATCCAGGTCATCGTAGTCTAAGGAGCTTGCAAAGAAAAGCGTCTGGACTTCTTTAAGTTGCTTGAAGACATTTTACCTCTCATCCGAGAAGCTTCTTCAGTTCTAGGGTCAAATGGTGGAGACGCTTTTCTTTCCAAGCTCCTTAGGCCTCCCGTCTGACTTTAATAATGAGAATAATTTACAAAGTTACCTTCATTTTCTGACCACCTGAAGCTCATAAACGAGGACTTCACTAAAGTCTTTACAGATGTCACAGAGCGGGAAACCCAAGTTTTCCCATTAAGACTAAGTTTTAGCAGCTTGCACACTGGCTTTACTTTTAAGACGCAAAGGCTAATTTAATGCTGTCTAAGGTTAGGATGCCCAGCCCCACAGCATTACAAGTCATCCATCCAGCCATCTAACACCACTTATCTGGGTGGTAGATAAGCCCAACGATATCCTGTCAGTATCTCCTGACATCATGCACATGCTCCTTTGCTCAGGAGTTGATGTTCCAGGTGCCACAAGGTGATTTTGGAAGCCAGGGATCAGAGAGCCATAACCTCCACCTCCACCCAATCCACAAATCACCAGACCCTACAACCCTTCCTGTGGGCCCCATGGACTAAAACCCGCCCACCAGACCCCTCTACCCCACAAAGGCTCGTGGGTAGGACCACAGTAAACAGGTCCCATGCAGGGTACGCTGGACCTTTTTATACTCAGCACAGGGGATGTCTGAAGATCTGATCTGAACTGCTCTTAGTGTGAACGCTCACTCACGACCAATTTGTCATGTTTCTGGTTATTTTCTAATTTAAAATCTGAAATCACACATTATCAGAGTCTTTGTTAGTTTGTTTTACTGAAAATAATTTCTATATTAACCATTTAAATTCTCACCCGGTCCATTGTCTGGTAAAGAAACTGCTTCCATCAGCTCCTCCATCGCCTCTCCACCTTCTGAACCTGAAGAATCTATACAGAATGAAAACAAAGACAGATTAACCATGGCTGAAATCAGCTGCAGGTTGAAAATTTGTTTTCCTCTCAAACTGAATTTGTGCAGGAAGCCCATCTAGCTGACAGTTGACGAGAGTTGTAAGATTTTCAGGGCTCGTATTTACACCTTGAACCAGGATTTGACACAACAGGCGGCCCAATGTATCTCATCAACAAATGTATCCACCGATCAGCTTTCAGAATGTCAACTGTGAAACAAACTGCCTATTAGCAGGCAATTTCTTTCTTGCTTCACTACCATGTTTTCAAAATAAAATAACAAGGCTTTTCTTGGTGCAGTGGAAAGCAGGAAGTCTGCGGCAATGGTGCAGGACTCCACAGTGCAAGCATTTCACAGGGATTTGTGACTAAAATAGATGTGTGTATACTGGGAAAAGCATTCAGGACCACTTAAAGCTGTGATGAGACAGTGAAGCCTTTTATTGAAAGGACAGCAGCAGCACTTGTTACTGTAATCAACATCGATAAGAATACTTTATCAACGCACCTGTTCAGCAAGTTAAAGGCAAAGCTTCAAACCACCACTGGTCTGTGTCACACAGTGACAAAGCTACAAAATAACAAACAAATATAAAAAATAAAAGCTATCTGATTGGAGATAATGTCCCAACTTACTTTGCTAGAATATTTAAATTTGGGAGATTTTTTATGACCCTTGCTGCAGGCTGAAAACCGCTCTGTGTTTCTAGGAGAGACACCTGCAGCATGCAGGGTGAGTCTGAAGAGCAATATGGGATGTACCACTGAAAAAAAAGAAATAACCCATATTTTCATCATCTGGGACCTTTACCAGCATCGTGTCCACCATCCACTTCAGCAGCAGGAGATGATGTGGAGACGCTCTGCACAGCAGCATCAGATGTCTGGTTGACTCTTTGCACTCGTGCAGCAGCAGCAGGAGGTGGTGGTCCTGTGAAACCCTGCACCCCTGGAGGAGCTGCAGAAGCAGGAGGACATATATGACCGACTCTTTGAATTCCAGCAGGAGCTGGTGAAGAACCACTGCCTCCCTCTGCTACTTTATCTGTCCTTATGTTTAACTTCCCCAGTGGCTTCAGGGTAAAGACCTGCCCACTCTGCTTAAACAGGACTGGGCAGCCATTCAGGACGTTCTCTCTCCACACTCTGGCATTTTCAAAGCTTTCAGTCACGGTCTTTAGCTCACTCTCCAGCTGTCCCACTTTGGCCTTCAGAGTCCTGTTTTCAGCGAGCAGCAGCAAAGACACCTGGGAGAAAACGGTGCTGATCTTTCTTGTTGCCTCACATGCTAACATCTCCAGAGTGCTGTCAAAATCCAGCTGTGAGGATTAAAACAGAGGAAACAAAGTTTATTTAGGAACTAAACCAAAGCACATGTTATCAGTGTAAACACAACATCAGTAGAGCTTGTATGAAGCGTTATGATGAAAACCATAATCACAATTACTTCACTACTTATCCCTGACTGCGTGATAAGTAAATCTTGAAAGAAAAGCGAGAATTATCGCAGCACATCACTGTTTAATCACTACAATCTTGTTTTAAAAAGTGCCGGAAGTTAAAGCTAACTGCGCAGCCCTGGAAATATTTGAACAAAGTAAAAGCAAAAATTAAAACCTAGTACTATAATCCAGCTCCTGTAATCTTACGATAACATTCACTTTATTTAAAAAAACAAAAAACAAAAACGTTGAGGTTTTTTTTTAAGCTAGCTTCAGCTTTACGAACGTCCGCCATCTTTGTTTTGCTTGGCGTCGTTGCCCTTCTTCGTGATTTTACTCCATCCGTCCACTCTCACCCGAGCACAGCGTCTCTGGCGTTTTTAGCGTATCTGGTGTGCGTTGATAATAAACTAACCGCTGACTTACCTTACGGTTCATAGTCTGTTCCTCTGCGTCGTTTTCTACTTTGGAATTTCCAATAACATCGACAGCGACCCGGATAACAGTCTCCATGATACACTTTGTTTCTGAATAAAACACCAAGTTTTCTGACATTTTCCCTCTGCGGATAAAAACTGTTCGCTACAAGCGCAGAGAACTTGCCTCTGTGTTAGCCCCATTCATTCAGGAAATGGAAGTAGTGCAACTGTAGAACTTTCAAAATAAAACTCATACAAAGCGCTTTGACTGCAAATGTTATTTAATTGCAATTTCGAGCAAGAAAAATAGACATATCTCAGAGAACTGAAATATAAAGTTATTAGAAAGTCACTTTACACTTCGACTTCTATTTTAAAAATGATTACACCTTTCACTGGGATTTTTGGGAATTCACAAAACATAAATTACTACTTTAAGAATTCTTAAAAAAAAAAAAAATCAATTAAAATGCCCAAATTTTCACTTAAATTTCAACTGGCAAACTCCTACATTACCTTCAGAACATTTGAAGATGTAATCTACCTTAATATCTCAAATTTTAGGTTTCATACAAGTAACTTTCATGTTTCACCAGATTTTTAAACAGCTGAGGTTATAGAAACAAAATAATAATACAAAACATAAATGCCACAACAATACTGCTAACCTCTACTGATAAAAAAGCTGATATCGTATTGACAGCTATTAAATCACGCTTAATCAGTCCCTTAACTCTAACATCTAAAGGGTGAGAGGTGCCAGTGTTATAGCTGTTTTTCACACCCACTTTCCCCACATCATAAGGACGAATGCACAGATCAGTATCAGCTGATATCAGCAAACACAAGGACAATTATCTACATCAGTGTCTGTCTTACATTATATTAGGCTGGCATAAACCTTTAGTCAAGTTATTTGTTGATGCCCAGATTAGTTAACATTAGTTGGTTTTAACATAGTTGCTGGTCCAGGATTTCACCAAAACTTTAATACCTCTTCAATCACAGGTAACCCTACCAGCTCTTCCAGTACATTTTATTAAGTTATTTCTGTGTCACACTGGAGCCGTTTTCATACATGCACTGCAGCTTGCAACTGATTTCCTAGTTGATTAAACTCGAGAATAGAAGACAACTAGTCAACTAATCTGATGGATGAATATAAACATTAATCTTACAAATGTTGTATTTGTATTAAAGAGCCATTTGAACCAATTAACAAATTATTTAAATGCCACTGAAATGTGTGACACCGTACACCGTGTAAAACTCTGCTCAGTTTTTTTTTGCAGACTTGCTGCATAAGGATAAGTCAAAAGTTCCTTAACAAAAATTAGTGGGAGGATTTTGCAAAGCCAGAGGTCCAAAGAGCCAATCAACAGCTGTACACCTGCAGCCACATGTGTTTACTCATTACTGTAGCAAATCTGTAGTTTAGCATACTTGTGAGTTATATCTAGAGTTACTGTTTGCATTTTGAATCAACTCAGAGCTGTCTGGTAGCAGAAAACAGACTCTGGCTTGAACCCTTGAGCAAACACCGAGCTTGTAAAGCTTTTTGTAGCATTTTTTTAAAAACGGATTTGACAGGTGAGTCAATAAATGTACCTTCAAAATAAAAGCCCAGATTCATCCAGAGGTGGCTGTGAAACCTGTGAAACCATGCCTGTGCAGAATGTGCTTATGCATTGCCCCAGTGAAACAGAGTTTGATCTGACACAACATATAACCGTTCCTGTAGTACAAAGTCGTACAGCACTGTGCTGATTAGCGGGGCTGCCATCCATCTTTCAGTCATAGAGAGACATCGAGAGCTGAAATACAGTGCCGTGTGAGACCCAACAGCTAACTGGCATTAAATGAATAAAAGATAACGTTAGTTTAAATGATTAATACTGCCGGCACCATTTAGAAAGAGCGGCAACATTCAAATGTCTACTCTATTAACCAAGGACATGCCAAGATCAGTACCTCTTCTGGGTACTTTTTGTTATACCCATGTGCAAATTGTAACCAACCTCCAGGGGGCACTGTCTCACTATGCTTTCAGACGTGAGCTGCTCTTCTTCTAACTTTCGATATTTCACATTTTCCTCAAGAGGCTTTGCACTTTCAAGGCTGCCACTGCCTCATAATGATTTGCCTGGTTTAGTCGCTGCATCGGCTCATGGTACAAATTCACACTACACAAAAGTACGACCCCAGCTGATCCCTCTTTAACACAGTACTCAGATGTTTCAGACATGAAGTCATAACAGCTGTTTTTTTTAAACATTTTGTTAACTGTTCTAGTTGATGTTCGACGGTTTTAACCAAGAATTTACAGAGAGGGCACTGTTAAAAACCACCAAGGTCACCGCAGAGTTATTTAGCAGTAGGATTAGGGTTAAGCTGCACAAGCATACAGATGTTACAAACTTCAACCCTACCGCTAACCAAAAGCAACGACCAGGTGGTTGAAGAAGAGGTTAACTGATGGAGGTGCTTGATGCAGTCTGTGCAGTATAGAGTCCACATGATGTGTGATGGGGTGCATGTGAGAGAAGAGCAGACAATTGTCCAGTGAATTCACAGCGAGTGAATGGAGGTCAGGTGTCCGGTCTGCTTCACTAAACTGCGAGTTTCTAGAAAAGCGAGGCAAATAATTTCCTGCTCAGTGCTGCAGTTAAACTACAGATGACGCCCCGCCTGATTCTCTGGACTTCATGTATGAAAACAGCTTTGTTCAGCTGAGCAAAATTGTAAGCAAAAAGGCACCGGGCCATGGGTAACCAATGCCTCCATTTCATTTATTAGTCCTACTTGCTATCAGGTGATTGCAGCCCCACGTCACCTACGACCCGTCACAGCTGTGCTTCTTGAGCTGCCGTGAATCAGAGAAGCCTCGGCCACACTGCTGGCAGGAGTAGAGCTTCTGCCCTGTGTGGATTTGCAGGTGGGACTTGAGCTGATTGGACTGGTGGAACTTCCTCTGACAGTACACGCACTCGAACGGCTTCTCCCCCGTGTGGATCCGCATGTGTCTGTAGAAGTTCCCGTCCGTTCTGAAGGCCTTGCCGCACTGGTCACATTTGTACGGCTTCTCACCCGTGTGAATGCGCTCGTGCTGCTTCAGACTCGCGGCGTGGAAAAACCGCTTCCCGCACACGTCGCAAACGAACGGCTTCTCGCCCGTGTGGCTCCGCTGATGATAGCTGAAAGAGTATTTGTTGTGGAAGGACTTCCCACAGATGCCGCAGTTGAACTCCTTGTGCTCGCTGTGGCCTTTTTCATGAAGTTTGAGCGAGCACGCGGCGCTGAAACCTTTCAGGCATATTTTGCAGCTATACGGTTTAACCAGCGACTTGTTCTGCCGTCGAGTCTGGAAGAAATTCTGCGTGCCGTCCGACTGCTCGCTCCTGTCGGCGTGCACGTACCTCTGGTGTATCTGCAGCCTGCAGTTGAAGAGGAAGGTCTTCCCACACAGATCGCACATGAACGGCTTTCTGGCGCCGTGGATGAGCATGTGCGACTTGAGCTTGTTGTTGTCTGAGAAGCTCTTGCCGCACTCCTGGCAGCTGAATGGCTTCTCTCCTGTGTGGATGCGAAGATGCCTTTTCAGGTTGTTATTCAAGCTGAACCTCGCTCCACATATGTGACAGGTGAAGGGCTTCTCTCCCGTGTGGACCACACTGTGTCTTTTCAGAGCCGTGCCGGTCCTGTACGACCTGTTGCACACGGAGCACACGAAGGGACTGTCGCCTGTGTGCTTCCTCTTATGCACAGTCAGCGAGTGGGCATATTTGAAGGTCTCCTCACACATTGTGCATTTATACTTTTTGGTGTTTGTGTGAACCATCTGGTGGAAGCGAAGCGTGTCTTTGCTCTTGAACTCCTTCCCGCATGTCACGCAGCTGAAGGGCCTTTCTTCCGAGTGCACGGCCATGTGACACTTGAGCTGAACCGACGTCTTGCAGGTCTTGTCGCAGAGCTGGCACTTCAGCAGCTGCTTCCATTTCTCGTGGCGTAACAGGTGGTTTTCCAGAGACTGCTTGATTCTGAACGTTTTGCCGCACTGATCGCAGGAGAATGGCTTCGGAGGCTTCGACCGCTGGTGACGCTTCAGATGGTTCTGAAGCGACTCCTCTTTCCTGTACGATCGTTTACACTGAGGGCACGGGAAGGGCAGCGGGGCTTTAGTTGCCTCGTGGCGCAAAACGTGATTTTCCAGAGACGCCTTCTCTAGGAAACTCCTGCCACACTGATCGCAAGGAAAAGGCTTCTTGTGGACCTTCATGTGTTTCTTCAGTTCGCCTTTCCAGTGAAAGCCGAGGTCGCAGTGCTCACAGAAGAACCGCCTCGCTGTCTGCGAGTCCGTCTTTCTCAGTCGTCTGCCAGGCTCTTCAGCTGACTTGCTTTGTTTCTCCTCGCTGCCGTTGTCAACGGAAACTGGAAATTAAGGCGCAAATGTACAGATTGTTATTATCCATTTCCACCCACACAACCCCCTCCTAAATCTCAAATCAACATGTTTATAGTCACATCTGAAAGCAACACCGGTACCTGTTTCACTATTAGCAGCTGCTCTTCTCGTTCGTCTTGTCCTCCCAGAAGCTCCTCCTTCCAAAGACTTCTGTGACACAACAGAATAAATCTGAGTTGGCATGAAAAGACTTTCTAAGCATCTCAACTAAAACATCCTAACACGCTGAATCTGTGAATGCAGCTGACAAGAATTAGGATCTACTGTTTTCCAAATAGAGACATGAATGTGTCAAACAGAAACATCCGACCTTCTCCTGTGTCGAGTCGAGACCGCTGACAGTACTGGAGTCGGGACTGGGGACATTTTGAGGTGTAGAGCCCGGCGAGGCCGCTGGTTTGAGCACGATTGCTGCAGCTCCCGTCGTTTCTGAGACGGCCGATGACTGCGCTACGATTTGACTGGCACCAACCAACAGCACCGTGGGAGCAGAGCTGACTCTGCCCACGAGCACCATGGGGGCGACCGCAGGTTTGGGGACGGTCACCGATGCAGCCGTGGAGGTGGGGACGACTTCAGCAGCTCCTGCAGAAATGGGCAGCGGGTCTGGATTTGATTCTTCTGCAGCCGATTCTGGGGCGTCTGGACTGGTGGACACTGACAGCACAGGACCTCCTGCATTTAAAGACAAAGTTACACATTGTTATTTAATGAACTCACTTGACTACTTCTTCTATGAAATATATGATAATCGACATTATGTTTAACATGTTTATCATCATCCCAAAATCTCTAATTTATTTGTAATTTAGTTGAACTCGAGCTGAGATGACTTGCTAAAGAGGTTCGATCTAGAAGAAGGTTACAATAAGGTTTCCACATCAGGAACAGCTGCCCTTGTAGATGAGCTTTAAAATAAATGTTTACCTACATGATTAACTGGTGTCCCCTCCAAAATTCCCTTTTTCCAACCACATGTTGAGTTCAAAGGGAAGAGACATGGTTTCAAATTCATTAACAGCATAAATAAACAGGCAGAATTATAATCCTGAGATAAATAAACACAAAAAGGAGACAGAATAAAGCCTCGCTACTAAAACTGTGTCTGAGTGGATCAGATGTACAAGTGATTCACTTTTAGAAACCGAATCACTTGGCTTATTGTAAATTGCCATTTTGCTGCATATTGCACAATTAATCAGCACACCAATTAAAAAAGGACTCTGCCTCAGGCCCAGTTTGAAGCTCGTGTGTTAAACTAACAGCATGTGGGGTTAAAACTTTAATCATATGTACACATTTTCAGCTATATCAACTTTTGTAGCAGGAAATTAACTAGACATTAATTCTTTTCTTTCTTTTTTGCCATAATCTTAACCCTATATTTGACAACAGCAAAATAAAACTGGAAATTATGTTTCTGGTGTGCCACCCCAATATTTTTAGTGGCCCCCATCTGGAAAAACGAAACATGAAAAAGAAAATGAGAATGCGTAGCGTGTGTATAGTCATATATCTGGCCCTTGATGTGGTCTGAACTGCCCGGGTGAATTTGAGAAAATACCCCCCAACTCAAAGATGATCCTTCAGAAATCAATCTCGAGCAGAATGATTGATCGATTAGTTGATATGTGACTGCTTCTCACCCATCACTGAGCCGTCTTGCAGCAGGACGTGAGTCGGGCCCTCGCTGATGGTCTTCAGCTCCTTCTCCAGCTGCTTCATGTCTCTGCCCAGCTGCCCCACTCTGGCCTCCAGCTCCTGCTCGAGCTGCCCGGCTTTCCTCTGGAGCACGTCCTCCAGCTGCTCCACTTTGGCCCGCAAAGCCTCGTTTTCCTCGAATAGCTCCGAGGAGAACTCCGTAAACACTTTGTGGATCTGCACCACCAGAGACTTCTCTATCTCTTGGATCTCGCCCATCCTCGCCTTTTCCCACTCCGTGTTTGGCGCCTCTTTCGCCAACACATCCCTGAAGACAGACAGAGTCGCCTGGATGGCCACTTCCACAATCGACGCCACTTCGCTGCCGAATCTCGGCTCCATGTTTGCTCACATGAACTCTCCGCCTGCTGTGTCCGAAACTCCGCAGCGCATTTTGAGCCCCAGTGAGGGGTTAAACGGGGTCCAGCTGGACTCAAAACACAGAACTCCTTCTTCCGTATCAACCGTCCCGTCCTTTCGTTCCCTGTGCACCTTTGAAAACCTTCCGTGTTGCATTTCCGCCTCCGGGGCCACACACGCTTAGAAAATAAAAGCCCCTTCTATCTACTTCTCGTTTATTCAACTAAGATTCTAACTTAAAATAACTAAAATAAAAAGTAGCAGCTTTTTTTAATTAAAAGTTTCAGTGAATTTCCGAGATAATGCTTTTATTAATTCATAATATTCAAGTGAATGTTTTACACTTTTGTGCATAAAAGCCCCAAACACATTCAAATTGAGTGAATGAACTAACATAATTAATCTTTAAAATTTTAAATAATAACTGTGGGTTTTTTTCGGAACGGTAAAGACCCGAATTCTTAAGTGTATAAAGCATAATCTGTAGTTTCTGATGCCAAAATACGTCTTTTATTTGTATTAGGCTATAGTAGTACTCATATTTGTGCACTTTAGGATCTCTCCAAACACATTCGGATATAAAATCATTGTCGAATCACTTACCTCATTTACATATCTTATAATGATATTTCCTTTTTTAATTCATAAAAAGCACTTTGAAGGCTTAAATTCTGACCACGTCATATTTCCCCACTTTTCCCTTTTCTGCATCAATCTTAGATTTAAAGTGAACTGTACTCATTGATCACTGTGCAGAGAAACAATAAGAAAACCACATTTGGGTCTGTTAACAGATAAACTTGTTGTTGATGTAAATTTCAAAGGGACACTTACATGTAGTCACTGAAATATGCTGAAGTTGAACCTGAACATCAGAATGTGTTTGGGTGATTTACGTGACTCTGAACATGGCGTGGTTGGAGTTAGCTGGGCTGGTCTGAGTGTTTCAGAAACTGCTGACTTACTGGGATTTCCCCACACTACCTGCTCTAGAGTTGACAGAGAATGGTCTGAAAAGGAGAAAATGCAGTTTTCTGGGCAAAAATGCCTTTTTGATGTCTGAGGAGATTGGCCAGACTGCTCTGAGCTGATAGGAAGACAACTATAACTAAAATAACCAATCATTAAAAGCAAGATATGAAGAAGAGCATCTATGAATGCTTGGAGCAGATGAGCTACAGAAGCAGAAGACCACACTGGCTGCCACTCCTGTCAGCTATGAACAAGAAACTGATGAAACTGAGATTGGAGAATGATGAAGTCTGATGAATCTCAGACCAGGTGATATTCAGATAGTAGGGTCAGAATTTGTCAAGAACACTGTGATGAAAGTGTAGAGCCATCCTGCTTTGTATTAATGCTTCATGCTGCTGCTGGTGTGGGGGATATTTTCTCGGCACGCTTTGGGCTTCTTAGTACCAAGCGAGCATTATTTAAACACCGCAGCCTACCTGAGTGTTGCTAACCATGTCCATCCTTTTATGATGACAGCTTACCCGTCTTCTGATGGCTGCTTCTAGCAGGATAATACGTCAGGATGCATCTCATATCATCTCAAACTGGTCACTTGAACATGACAATGAGGAACTTTAGAAATGAAATTAGTCAATATGGCTTTTTTTGTGTCTATAAAACTGACTGACACAGTAGGTAATGCGAATTATACTGACCCTCAGTCATAGTGGAAATAAAATAGGAGCCCCCAGACCTGCTTAAATGACTCACAAAAACACACACACTCACACACACACAAAAGATTATCTTTCAATCTGTACTTTTCAATTCAAAGAAACAACTGTACAGAGTCAGTAATTTGCAGTTGGTTCTGATCATTTTGTACATTATTGGGTCATTTTTTCACCTTTTTTCCATGTCGGTAGTTTGTGTCACCCCTGTATGTTACAGTGATCGTAGAATGGGACTCAAAGACATGCACAGCAGTACTGTAATAGAGACTATGTCATTCATGCAACCTCTTTGTCCTGATCTGTTTGTGTGCAGGAGGTGTACATCACTTTCATCTAGGCTTGTGGCACAAATAAACAGTCACACTTCAAGACAGACTCAGACTCCAAGATTCAACATAGCAAAAGACAAGGGGCGGTTTTCCCAGTGTCACCATGGATAAATTATTTTCACGTCTGTTTTTACAGAAAATACTTCTGAGCAAATAGATTTGTACATTTCCAGGCTGCAGGTTGCAGACAGGCATACAGAGAGACAGGCAGGCTGAGGGCAGACAGACAGTGGTGCTCAGGGGCTCCTGGGAGGGGACACGCTGTGGCAGCAGATCAGCTAAAACACCAATTTATATTCAGTATTTATTATTTTTTATCTTTGGCTGGTGATAAAAATGTCACCACATTAATGAGGTGGTCAACAGCACCAAACTAAAGCATAATATTATTCACGACGTGATGATAAAAGTGATCATTTCTAATGAGTATCCCTAAAGAACATCAATAAATTCAACCTCTCGTCCCACCTGAACATCCACTGAACTTAGCAGCCCTGATTGTCCCCGTTTGTGTCTGAGAAAATAACATTTCGCTTCAGTGTACGAGCCCTTTTAATGTCTGCGAGTTTTCTTATGACTTTCTATTCAGGCAGTGTGTTCACGAGGTCCAATTTTTCTCCGCTCTTGACGTGGAAACAGAAGCATCAGTGTTTTCCTATCAGAGGCAACATATCAGGATCAACAGTGAAACCAGTGGTGATTTTCACCCTTAAAACAATTAACTGTTTGGTCAGTAAAAGATGAGCAAATACATAATCCTCATCATTGTTACTTTGACAAACTTTCATATATTCAGTTAATCCTGTAATAAAAATATTTAAGAAATTTGAGCAAAAGCATGATGGTAGTTTTTTGGTTGTATAGAGAATTAAGACCTAAAGTTATAACAGGGCAGTGCAGTGAAGCTAAAGAAAGAAAGAAAGGCGTGTCCAGGTTGGGTAACAAACATATAAAAGATGGACAAAGCTTTAAACCTGCATTCTTGCTGATGGCCAGCAGAGGGCGACTCCTGTAGTTATAAAAACAGGTGGAGTTGCATGGAAAATGTCCCTCAACTCGACTCCTCTGTGATCTCACTTTCCCGATTAGATTATGGGCTCAATCACATTTTTTTTTCACTTTTATTCAACACAACAAGATGCCTTTTAAATTTTTTGTAAATTATGAATTATTAAAGTCACAAAGGGGGACCAGTCCGAGTATGTCCAGTGTTGGTTTCACAGCGAGATCCACACCCCTTCTGTGACATCTGGTTTCAAACAACTAAAATAGCAAAGGCTGAAAATATCTTCAGGCTTCAAATCAGAACTTCACTCACTAGTGGCAAAGTCCATCTGTTATATACAGTCTATTTAATAAGTACATAGCACAGTGTTATGTGTCGCTAAATATTAGCTTCTGAACGAAAACAGGACTTCTTCCAGGTTTAATTTTTGCAGTAATGTCACTGAACTCATGTTTCAATATTAATTACAGTCAGTGCTGTCAAAAGAAAAATGTAGTATAACAAAAGTAGTGTTTGTTTAAAGTTTGTTTATAGATTTTTCTATAAAAGGCCGGCTCTGCTGAGAAGGTTCTAGGACCACTCACCAAAACGACGAACTGATTATTAAGCAGTTCGTTCAGTTAAAGGTTTTAGCTCTTGCATAAATGTCCATAAGCTGTACACGAACTTTGAAGATCAAAGTGAATTTCACGCCCTTCTCAAAGCCAAACTGTATGTGACTGAACCTGAAAAGGTCACTCATAATACTTTAATCTTCTCATTTTGGTAACTTTTAACTTGTCCGGGTCTGACGTCCCTCTGCTGGATCCCCAACACCAGTGAACACCAGCCCTCAGCCCTGCAACAGGCCAGCGTCCCTAGTGCAAAGAAAAGGTTGCATAAAGTTCCATTGCTACCACGGACATCATCCTCACCATCATCGGCAACATTAATCCCTGAACACACCGCTCTACAATCCTCATAGACTTCATATTACTGCATACTACTGAGTGGTTTTGGTGTACAAGATGCAACATGTCAAAGTCTGAAGTGTCTGAATGGCATCAGAGAATCTGCACCAGTGTTTCCCTCCGCTTAAAAAACAGTGCGTTTCATTTTTCGGGGCTTTTTTGGCCCCTGATCGTGTAAACAGGAGGAAACACTGATCCAACATGAAACATTTTCAACATCAATGATCTACATTCATTTCCAGGCAGAAAAGAAAACACTTTCAATACATTAACAACAAACCAAAAGGTATTTTTATTTATTACTTCGCGTCTGCCGACAGAATGAGGCTGATGTGAGCACAACAGACAGACGGGCAGGGTATCGGCACACACGCCCAAACCGTCGAGCTTTCATTTGTCCCAATGTTTACCTTTCACATATTATCTAAATGTTTCTGCTCTCCAAAGTGTAAAGTTATTTGACTTGTTATTGGTTCAGCTGTACCCTGCGCGATCTGTTCTGTGTGTATCAGCAGAAACAAATCATGGAGGTTTATTATGATGCTGGATTCATAATCAGTCAGCCAGCTGGCTCGGTGTCACTTTAAACATGGAACTCTTTTCACTCTTGGTGTGTTTGTTGTGTCTGACATGCATGCAAATGATTGCACTCATGTGGCATTCTCATGAAATAAATTACAAGTTCTAAAGACAAATTTTATGAGAAACAGAAACGAGGTCTGTAGGTCAGGAGGGAATTTAAAATCCAGCAATGAAAACCTAAAATAAATAAATAAATAAATAAGACCCAACACAATCAGCTGACCGATAACCATATCTTTAACAAGCCTTAAATATGAACTCTATCCTAGCAAATATAGACACGAGCTGGATTCTTGGGCTTTACAGCCTTCTTACAAATAAATGTAAATGTTTTCTTGTAAAATACTACTGAAGTATGTGAAGTCCTTCATGTTTGAGTTAAAAAATAACCTGGTCTATGATTTTAAAAATGTAAGTATTGGAGTGATGCGTCTTTGATGAGCTGGCAGACTCTGTGACATGCAGCAGAAAGGTGAGAGAGCAGGTAAAGACCATGGGCAGACGGTGTTTTGAAAACTAAAAACACCAAAAGGCTGGATTCGAAGCTCTGTGAAGCAACTGTGCACTGACCAAAAAATTTAATCAAAAAGAGAAAACACCTTAAAAAAGACAACCTGTTAAGCTCATTTTCAGCTCCATAGTTTTACTCTTGGACTCTAACAGCGTAGCTTTGCATGA